GGAATGAAGTTACTCAACGCTCATATATTGAGCGTTGAGCTGATCGTCACGAAACGAAGTCAACTCTTTTACCGGTATAATGCCACGAAACGTCCTGGAGGTGGCGCTGTTCATTGTAGCCTAATTACTGCCATCCCAGCTGTCACTATGAATGGTCGACCCTTGAGCGGGATCAAGGCGGAGGTCGATAGCTGCCATCAGCAAATGGAATCCACTGTCTGCCGTCAGAGGAGTTCATCGAGGTCAGTAATGCATTGATAGGCGCGAAACGAAGTTACCGCAGCGCCTTAATTCAGCAGTACCGAACGAATTCTGCGCTACGCACCGTCTGCCCTCGTGCTCCTTCTTCCATACCTCGCAAGGCATCGATGACCTGTGCTGATCATCGCAGCATCGCACACCGAGAAACACCCGCCTCATCCGCATCGTATTAGCTTCTTTACTGAGAATCATGTTGTCGCTTTTGTCCGACAGCGTTGGCTTCGGTTTTCCAATGATTACGATAGATCGAAACTGATTTGAACGCATTTCTCAATCTCGGCAAGACTCATGCGATTGTTAGAACGGGAAACAGCAAAACGTGTCCATTTCGACACACACGTTGCGTAGCTTTCGTAAAAAGCCTGTTTTCATAAAAATCTTCCACTTCGCCCAGTCCATAAACAGTTTTGTCAACGGATCAACTTTCGACAGCTTCGCAAATTCAACGGAACTTTAAACCGAAACGGGAGAAAACAACATGCCAAGAAGTAGTTGCTGAGAAGACCTCTTTTCAAACGCTAGGAGGGTCCGGAAATTAGAAAATGACTCATAAATGTGCGAAAACCACTCAGCAAAATCGTTTCAGGAAATAAAAAATAATTTTTGGGGATCACCTCCAAAATAAACGAAGCAGATACAGGTTTATTCATCGAAAACAGCCAGCAACACAGACCGCTTCGCTAATCAACAGGATGTCTTTAATCAAGTTCAGAACTTCTCACTGCCTCAACTGTATGTTCTACTGACTCAACTGTATGTGCAACTGCCTTGCTATAGAAAACAATTAATCGGAATAATGGTTATGTACTCTTCTCGTCAGACGCCTCCTTACAAACTAGCATTTCCCCATTTCCCTAGTGAAACAGTTTTCTTTCTCAGAACCGTCTGACCAATGGCTGTTCATTATCTAACGGTTTGAAACTTCAGTGGATGTTCTGAGTTTCGCGAAAGTATAAAAGGTCTACTGGCTCCAGAAACACTGCTGAGCAATATCTTATTGCTATAAATAATATGGCAATAAGTATTCCCATAATCGGTAAAATGATGCCAGGCACATCAAGCTCTCTATCTGGTCAAGTACAACAGAGCCATACTCTGCCTAAAAAATTCCTAGACAACTGAGACCCTGAGCAAGAGGAGTTCGAATTACCCGTATATGATCACTTATCAGTTAAGCGCTTAATACATTTGGCATGTGAATCTAAATTTTATAACTCTTTTATCTTATATGACTTTTCGTCTCTTGTGAGGTGGTAACATCAAAGAGAGTAAAAGGAAGGATCTCAGAAGAGAAGTAGAGTTTGATAAAGAAGCGGAAGTGGATGAAAGAAAATGGGACTGACGCTGCGGAGTCCTTCCGATTGCACAAATTAAAAAAAACAGTAGATGACCGCAGCAACCTCAAACAGTGCAGGAGAAAGTCATCAGTCCATCTACACTGCGTTGAAGTATAGGGATGGAGTATTAACATCTGGCAGAGCTAAGTTGCAGTTCATTTGGAAAAACTTTTATACCCATCCATCTGCGTCAGAGTCATACGTCTCACAACCATAAA